AAACCAGACTGAAATTTCTCGTGTGTATTGTTATCATTCAAAAAAGGCAAAAGTTGGCTCAAGACCACTTTTTCTAAAATTTTTGAGAGAAAATGTAAATTTGAGATTGGGCGAAAATTACTCAAGAACGTAGGATTCAAATTTGTTTTTTTAAGATGAGGCAAAACAGAGGCATGTTTAAGGCAGTCAGGTACGGTCCCAGTAAAAAGACATTTGTAGATGACAGACAACAAATCAGAGCCAATAGCTTGAAAAACTTGCTTAAGTAAATGTGTAGGAATCGCATCCTGAGGGCAGCTAGTGGGTTTTAAACAAGCTTAGTGTGTGCCATGTTAGTAAGTAGTGGTTAAAAAGCTGTGGTCATACAGGATGCAACTTTTTTCCAACTGTATTAATGCAAAGATTATTTGCTTAAATGCAAAACTGGCTGTGAGCAGTATTGAGCTCAGAACAACAATAAAATATGTTTATGAGTTACAGCCTTGCCTGTTTAATACTGGCAAGTGTTTTGTGGTGTCATGGTGCATGTGAATTGTGCAACAAGATTTTGCTGGCAGTCTTTTTAATTTAACAGCTGTAGACAGCAAAAAATAATTAGTTGAGTTAAAAGTACTCTCATTTATTCTTATGGTTTAAGAAAAATAAAAAATTATACATATAATTGTATACAATATTGTACAATATTCACTATGTATTTTATATGTAATACAGAGCATAGGACATGATGCCCCCTGGTGTAAGAATGAGTAAATCCTTGTATTATAACCTCTCAATTTGCAAACTTTTGATCCCCATGATTTTGATAATTAAAATTAGATGATTAAAAATGATTTTATATTTAGCATGATTTACAATGACTAGAAATGTGTAAAAGTTCTAACCGAACAATAATAAAATTCATATTAAAAATCTGAGCTGTAATAATGATAAAAAAATATATAAAACATATTTTGAAGACAGCTTTGTTCAGAAATGAAAATCATTACTAACAACTTTCTCTTCAGTGAGCTGTAGACTATGGAAGATTCTGTCTGCCACAGAATGAAAAAAATGAAATGAAAAAGTGAACTGCAACTTTTTAATCGCACAATTCAGGCATTTGTTCTTGCAATTCTGAATTTATATCTCACAATTCTGACTTTTTCCCTCGCAATATTGAGGGGGGGTGGAACAGAATTGTGAGATGTTATAAACTGAGAATTAAAACAGAATTAAAAACTCACAATTCTGAGGAAAAAATTTGAGATAAATTTATTAGATTTCAATTACATTATTTTGTATTCCACAGCAGAAAAAAAAACAGAATTACAAGATGTAAACTCAGAATTTCGTGTTTATATCTTGCAGTTCTGAATTTATATCTCGCAATTCTGTTTATATCTCGAAAATTCTGATCTCTTTCTCAGAATTGTAATAAAAACAAGTCCAAATTGTGAGATTAAAATGTTGCTAGTATTTTTTTATTTGGTGGCGGAAACGAGCCTTCGTGGTTAACCACTGCAATAGGATCATTGAGTCAGTGATTTGAACTTGTGAACTATATCAGTTGGATTTGTGAACGAATCATTCTAGTTGACTCAGTTTTCAATTCAAAACTCAAAGGAAAGTATCAGAAATGTTAATTCTGTCATAAACCATTCTCTTTCTCTTTTCTTTGTGTAGCGGCCAATAGTGTGGGACATGAAGGTCAACAGTTGAACAACTCAACGCAGATAGTCTTATCAGACATTGAAATCTTCAATATATTCATATACTTTGTCATCTTTGCTCTGGGTATTGTCGGAAACGGGCTCGTCATATATGTGACGGGCTACAAAATGAAGACAACCGTCAACTCCATTTGGTTTCTCAACTTGGCGATTGCAGACTTCATCTTCATCTTAGTCATCATCCTCTACATTGTTACTGCCTTTAGCCAGGTTTGGCTCTTTGGTGACTTCATGTGCAAGTTTGTCTCCTTCGTGACGGTGTTAAACATGTTTGCCAGCATTTTTTTGCTCACGGCTATCAGTCTGGATCGATGTCTGTCCACCTGGATGATTGTTTGGGCTCAAAACAAACGAACTCTTGTCAAAGCCAGGATCATCTGTTCACTCATGTGGGTTTTATCCATTGGCTGCAGCATCCCGTTTGTTTTGTGCCGCTCAGGAGAGTATAATCAGTGTGCCTATGAATGTCCTTTAAACATCTTAAAGTCTCTGTTCATATACAGGTTTATAGTGGGCTTTCTCATCCCCTTCCTGATCATTGCATCTTCATACATTGCTATCGGAGTGCGAGCCAAGCGTCTCAAAAGAGGAAAGAAGCTTAAACCTTTCCGGGTCATTATATCTGTGATCCTGGCCTTTTTCATATGCTGGTTTCCTTTTCATGTTCAGCAGCTGTCTTCCATAGTTGCAATTATAAATGGGTGGAGTGATGTTGAAAATGTATTCAATAAAATAGGGCCATTTGTTAACTGCCTGGTTCATCTCAACAGCTGTCTGAACCCCATTCTCTATGTGTTCATGTGTGAGGAGTTTAAGAAGAAGCTCAAACAGTCTCTGCTGCTGGTGCTGGAGACGGCTTTTACAGAAGAACATCTGCCTTTCCGAACATCTCACCCTTCCACATCTCGCCGTTCACGCCTCTCAGAATCACAAGGTCTCAAGCAGACAAATGAAACAACACTCTCATCATCTGGCAGCAGTCAGGACAACAATACATGCTTTTAGAAAATCAGTCTCAGAGATATTCATTCTTTATGTTAGATCGAAGTGGACGATAAATCACATTAACAAGCTCTCAACATTGCTGCCTTGATGCCTGCCATCTCATGCCAGAGGTTCAAAGCCAATTTGTGTTAAAGACAATTTGAAGTTTGTTTTAAACGTTGCAATTTATGTGCCATGTGACTTTCACATGCCCCCATTTTTAATTGGCTGGACAAACTGATAGCCCCGCCTCAAACTCACACCATTGGTCGGGTCAGTGTTGCTGCTTCTAGTTGGGTTGAAAATGATTTGCATTGTTTTTTTGTGGAAAACCTACAATTGATTTATTTTATACTTGTCTTTCTTTATTAAAGTGGCTTTGTGGAAAATATTTTCAACAGATATTTATTCTGTTTTATATATTCTTTTCGTTGACAACCTTTTAGACACATTGTAATACTGTCAATTTAGTGCTAACATCTATTTTGCAATGTTTATTTAATCACCAAAACTGAAGATAATCTGTTTGAAACATTCTGTCTGTAGTCTTCCTCGGTTTTTTATAAATACAGTTTTTATGCTATTTCTGTCTGGAATTTTTTATAGGCATAAAACACTGTCACAGCATTCTATCTATCTATCTATCTATCTATCTATCTATCTATCTATCTATCTATCTATCTATCTATCTATCTATCTATCTATCTGTCTGTATCTGTCTGTCTGTATCTGTCTGTCTGTCATCACCACATGCTCACATTTCAGTGACTTGTATTATGAAGTTAGAAATCTGGAATTTCATAAGCGCTATGTTACCAAGTCTGACATGTGTTTACGTAATAAAATCAACTATGCACTGAGCAGCTGGCATTACTGAAATACAATTCCTTTTACAGCGAATGCTACTGAAGCAGATGTTGAAATCAATGTGAGGAAGAAAACAGAAACATAATAAAGGATGCTGTCTACTTCAGTAAACATGACGAACTGATTGAAATGTGAGATATTACAGTTTTTAAACTATAATACAGCTTGTGAACAAAATGTCACGTAGCATTTCATTTACATCAGGCAAATCATCAGTGTCCACAGCTCATTAGTTCGCTAGAGACATGGGGCCTCATTTATCAATCTAACGTAGAAACGAGCGCAGATCCATGCGCACAAATCAACTTACGACAGAGTTCACGTGCAAAAAACAATCGTCATTTGAATATCACACCCCTAAAAACAACCTGGGCTGCGTTCAGCCCCGACAAAACGGTGCAAAACGTTTTTTAAACGGAAACGGTGGTGAGTTGAACACCCTGTTCTGATGACGCAAGAGTTGCAACTATGGCAGCTGAGAAGGCCAATATTTGTGTTCTTTTTGAAGAATTTTCGGAGCCTGATGAAATCGGTATAAATACGTGTTTAATACTGCAAAATACGCTCGATGGTACAATCACTGCCCTTGCCCTCCAGAATAAAAGAGAACATCCCAATCAAATGAAGGGATTTGTGGAAACTGTGGTTCCTAATTATTGTGATCCAACATTTGCTTTGCATTTCAGGATGAAAAGACAAACATTTCAGGTGAAGGATAATCCAGTTCTTACCTCCGAGACTGTGTTATGATCTATATGACCTTATTATTTTTACTGTGAGTATTAGGCTTATCATTGTTGCTGATCACTGTTGTTATGCTATGATATTGTAATATGTACCATTATATAATCAGAGGGGTATAGAAAAGTTTATGAAAGTGTCACTACATAATACAAAAGCAAAATATATAAATATGTGTAATGTGACCATGATTTGGGCACTACAAGTCCCAGCAGCCCCAGTGTTATATAAGGAAGTAGTGAAGTTTGTTTGCTCTTTTTCGCTTCCGCTTTTGATTTCAGGGATGTCGTGGCGGATTTAGAAGTTGAAAAGAAAGATATAGCACTTCAAAAGAATGGCAGCAGATAAGCAGTTACGTTAAATAATCCCGGAGCTTCGTCGTGAACTGAACATATGATGCACCGATTAAGGAGTGTTGTGGCTGGATTATTGCCTGACTGATGGTTGCCTGACTGTCCCAGTCGAAAATAGTGGATGTAAGAGGATGCACGGTTACCGTTTACTTTAGATTTAATACTTTTGTAATTGTTTTTTATTTATTTTGTTCTGTGAATTTGGGACCCAGAGTGTCAGAGGAGAGATTAGGCCCCAAAGAAACTGGATTAATAGTGACTGTGTTACAATGCTGACTTGTGTTTGTGTCACCTGCATTGTCCACTGTTAATTAAGTTGTTTATTCTTTTCTTTTGTAGGTTCAGTTTTGGTTAAGCCAATGGTGGCCACTGAGTTGCCCTCACTGTGTGGATGGCGGTGGTGAGGTAGCTGGGATTGTGTGGTGGTTTGATCACTTTATCTTTGGTTTTCCTATAGGTTTGCAGTGTGATTGCTGTGAGCTTGACTGCTGTGAGGACACTTTTGCTCTTGTGCCACTTCTGTCTTCACTTTCTAGGTAACCTGTGGCCATCTATAGTTGGTTTTCTTTTCGTTGTTTATTTTTATTTTCATTTTTTTCTCATGTGGGTATTTGCATCAAATATTGGTGATGTGGTGTTTTAATATTTTTGACCTGTCTGAATAAAAATGTGCCTGTTGATTTAAAGTCACCTCATGGCCCCTTTCGCCTGTTTACTACTGACTTTTAAAGGTCATCCCACCACATTTGTATAGTATTTTTATGTTACATTAATCAGTATTTAGCACTCCTTCCTAGGGAAACGACATAGACCAGAATACATTGCAATTACTAAATGATATTTAGACAGACTTAAAGAAGTTCCAGATCTATACTTGTGCCCTTATTATTTCAGTTATTTTGCCTTTAATGTAAATAAACATGTGCAAACAATATACTTGCTCTTGTGAATTTATTTGGATGTTAATTACATTGTGCGAGCTGTCTCTTTAATACTGTGTGGTTTACATACATGTTGCTGCTGATTGGGCTGACATGTTTGACACACCCACCAAACAAGAGAAAACGCATCTCAAACCCCGTTGCACACTGTTTCTAGGAAACATGTCGTTCAAACCGGAAACCGTAGCAAAACGGTGCACACCGTTTTGAGCTTGAACTTGCCCCTGGTTTAGAAGCCTCGCCCCTAGAGTTTAGGACACGGAGAAAAGAAACCCGGACAAAAAGAGGAAGTAATCTCGTCAAAGAAAAATTGATCTTACTCCAAAAACATCCCTTAACCTTGTAATCGCAAACTATTAGGCTACATTAATTAATGTAATTTATATGTATATTAAAATACTCGTAAATATAAACAGATTTAGTTTCCCTCATTCTACAACAAATATTTTAAATTTAACGGTATTCAGAACAGAACAAGAATGAAAAGTAAGTAGTTATAAAATTATATATTCAACTATAAAATAAAACTAATTAGGCTATTGTGGCATTCATTATAGCATACAAAACTGAAATGGCATTGGGCTCACGAGCCATGTCTCATACCACAAGAATACAAATGTTTCCACTTTCGCCATATTTGTAACATTTGTTTGCATAACTATTATTCATTATGTAGCCTAAACATGGCTTTATACTTCACTCATGTTCTAATATCCGTGTAAAATCCTTCACATGCGCAAAAATGTTTGTTTGGGCACTGTGCCGGGATAATGTAACTTTTATGTTTGGTTGACTGCATTTTAGTTTGATGATGAATGGCTGAAATGTCAGGCAACGGTAGAACTAGTGTTGTTTGTGTGTGTGAGAGGCGCCTGTGCGATCAGATGGATTTAATCAAATAAAGACATAATTCAATTCAAGTTTATTTGTATAGTGCTTTTCACGATACAAATCTTTGCAAAGCAACTTTACAGAAAATTACGTTTCTACAATATTTAGTAGCTTATCAGTGGTGACTGTCAGTTAATGTTGCCTACATATGGCAGAAATGTACGGAAAAAATCAATTAAAGACATAATCAAACAGATGATGAAAAGACATAAAGAAAATAAATAAAATGCATTAAGAGTGTCACAAAAACGAGCGTGGCCTATACTTTGTGAGTGAGTGAGTGAGTGAGTGAGAGTGAGAAAGAGAGTTATACTATCAGATTGATGAAATGATATTGGATGCAGTTCAGGGTAGGATGAAATAGAAAACTTGTAATACTCCCAATAGTTTGTATAAGTGTGTGTGTGTGTGTGTGTGTGTGTGTTAGCGTGAGTATGCATGCATCCAAACATGAACAGGTCCAAGGCCTTTATGTTTGCAAGCACACGTACATATGTGAACGTGAACATGATCAACATGCTCCTGAACACTTATAGTTAGTATTACTTTCATTCTTTCCCATTCACTTTGAATGGCTGGACATTTTTGACCGGGAACACCACAAGTGTTACTTTGTGCCATTTTGTACAAAATAAAAGCCTTTCAAAACAAACTCCCTGATTAAACATTTGAATCCAATCTTTGGTGATAATATAGCATAATGAGTGATTTATAAGCAATTTTTGAGGCCGGGTCCTTTTTGCTCTGTAACCTTGTGTGTGTGAAAGGGTTCTGAACACAACATTAAATCAAACTTCAGTCATTCAAATAAAGAAATATTAAACCCAGAGGAGATTAATCATAATAAACATGCTGCTACAATTAAAACCATTACATTAAAATACATTTAAAACAGTGTATTTCAATTATTTCAGCAGTGTGCAGATCCTCGTTTATGTCAGACTGTGGCGACAGCAGCGAGGACAGTCGCTTTGCTGGCTCACATATAGGGGAGAGCGGGATAAGTTGTCACACTTTTCTCACTGTCTAACATTTACTGAGCACCATACATCACAATGGTATAAATGTCATACCAAATGAAAGAAGGAAGTCTTTGGCACATACAGTATGTTGTATTCATTACATTTTCATATCTTATCTCATTACGGAGTTGTAGACTGTTGAATAGAGAATGTGCACTTGTGACAATTTGCCCCATCGGCAGGTAAGTTGTCAAACTAGATTATCTAAAAATAAGAACACAACTACTTAATTGTTGTAGCGAATCAGCTCATGGGGAAATATGAATAATTTATCATAACTAGTTATAATTAATTATAAATATTTAGATCCGCTGTAGATATTTACTTGACCTCTCAGGGTCAACTGTCTGTCAATTCTAAGAACGTTAATTTCCTGGTTAAGGGAAATAACTTTCTTACTGTACAACTCTACACAGAGCCTGTAGCATAAATCTGCATGATTGGGGACTCCAGTTATGAGCAAACAATGAACAACGTCAAGTGTGATACAAGTAAGACTTTATTAACTACATAAACACTTAAACTAGTTTAACATACTACATAAACACTTAAACTAGTTTAACATACTACATAAACACTGAAACTAATCTAACATACACATACAAACGCACACACACACACACACACACACACACACAATAACATATCAACTCGTCTGTCACGCGTGATAGTTGCAGCTCTAAATGT